CCCTCTTCTGGCATGCAGGCATAACACTGTATAAGTAAACAAACCTTAAGAAAATTGGTAAGGGTAATTATGGATGCTAAGTATCTCTGCAGGAGGATGAAAGTGCTGTTGGAATATATCAGGAATGGTATAGGCGGGGTTATGGTATGTTCTACTTTTTGGGAAACCCCCAGGCTGATTTCCAGAGTGACTACTAGTTTACACTCAAAAGGGTCCAAGGATTGATTCCTTTTTACCCATATCCTCAAAAGCATTTGCTGTCATATCTTGACCTTGGCAGCTCTGAAGGAGCCCAACTCACAATAGGTAGGAAATGGCATCACCAAGATTTCTATCAACTGACGAATGACTAAGTAGTACACAGTAGTTATGAAAATTATTTTTCATAAATGGTCAATGGAACTAAAAAAATAGGATGCTTCCCCAGGAAAAGTAAGAGAAAAGCTACAGTTCCTTTTCTATGTGGACCCTAGCTTTCTGTTGTCTTATGTTTAACCTGAGGTACATGTGCAAGTCAGGAAACTGGAAATGAGTCATTGGGACTGGATGCCTTAAGGGAGCGGCTAGTCAAATACAGGTAAAATAAAAGTAGAAGGGATATTGGGAGAGGAAAGGCTCAAACAGAGGGGAAGGAGTCAAACATGATGGGGAGAAAACCAAGGAGAACATGGGAAAGCTGTATGGAAACACAGGATCTCCTAGTCAAAGGGGAAAAAAAAGCCCTACTAGAGGGGACAGCAGAATACAGGGGGAAGAGGATCCTTAGAATTAAACGAAAATAGGGTGATGGTGTAAGGAGAGGGCAGGGGCTTGCCAGACAAAACTAAGGACACAGAAGTCTTATCGAAGGTGTAACCTATTATGTATGAAAGGAATTGGAACAAACCTTGAGTAGACAATGTTGCTCCCAGAGGGTATGTTTAAATGACAATCTTGGTGCCAAGAAGCCAAGAATGGGATCTTGACTTATTGGTCTGGTAGGCAATCCAAATAGGCTATGCCAGTGCTCCCTGTTGTCCACCATAACTTGATGGCAAAACACTATTGCTCAGGGCATTCAGAAACCAACTTTGATATGGCCAGGCCACTGGCCATGCCGGCTAACTTACACAGTGTTAGGTGTTGAGTAGGCTACTGCTCTTATTTGATGCTGCACCCAAATGCTACAACACTGGCGTGTGGGCAACGTGTGGCCACTGGTGCAGTGACAGGCATGAAGATTATGGAGGTAACCAGGCGCTTTCAGATTGGATATGGTCTGTGCTCAGGAGGGATTTCCTATTTGGTATTATGAGAAGCTTTTAACCTGGAAGATCATAAGTCCTAAGACACAAAATCTGTTTTGCTAAAATGTCATGTTAACTTCCATCCATATATATACACACACACACACACACATATATACATATACATGCATATATACATACATACATGTATGTATATATATGCTAACATTCATAGCCTAATGTTGCTTTCAACTTTGGTCAGAAAAGCTGCTTTTTGCAGTGGGTCGTGGTTAATGCAGAGTCATAACTGGCTAAAGGACTAAGTATAAATGAGTGTGTGCTCAGCTGTGGTTGAGTCCTCTATAGCAACCCTACTAGCTAAAGTGCAGGGAATTTCACAGTGTGTGAAGAAACGTAGGCAAGAGTGCCGTGTGATGTGAATGCTGTTCTGAAGATGGTTACCACACACACCAACTCACAGCATCTGTAGAGTCAGCGGTCAGCTGGTCAGAGTTCCAGATTGGAGGGATCTCTGCGCTCCACCCTCCTACAAGCTGTCTGTAGCTGATGGCAGCCGAGGGGGGTCACTCCCCATGTCCATGTGTGTGTGAGTTATTAACAAAAAAACAGTTGGGCGGTGGTGGCACACACCTTTAATCCCAGCACTCGGGAGGCAGAGGCAGGCGGATCTCTGTGAGTTCGAGGCCAACCTGGTCTACAAGAGCTAGTTCCAGGACAGGCTCTAAAACTACAGTGAAACCTTTGTCTCAAAAAAACAAAAAACAAGCAAGCAAACAAAAAAAGGGGCGGGGGCAAGGGAGAGGAAGAGAGCACACAAGGGTGTGGGGCACTAGGGAGAAAAATGAGTGGGCAGTTATGATAAATGCATAAAAGTTTCAAATACTAAACAAAAATCCCAAAGCACAGAGCAGACAAACACCTTTGCCACTGACTAACGAAATAAAGTATACACCACTTGGTAATTACATGCTTTCAAGTTTTGCCAAAATAAGTTACAAACCAAAACCCTTCTAAGCAAGCCAAGCCAAAGGGCCTGTGATTTTTAATCCATCTACTTGTTATAATTTAAGATTTCAAATGACACAAAAGTTCCATTGTTGCCTAAAACCCATCGTTTTACAGGTCAACTCTAATTCTGTGAGGAAAATACCTACATGCCCACCCAGAATATAAGATCCAAGATACCAGGTTATTCCATTACCATTTCAGAAGCACTGCTTAACTAAGTACGTTTTATAGAACTCACTTTACAGTTTTTATTGGCTCAGCAACGCTATAAAATACTATCGTTAAAATACAACCACCTGCAGCAGACAAAGTAACAGTGGGTAAAGGGTGCTTGCTATTGAGTCCAATGACCTGAGCTGAAACCTTGCAACCCACATGGCCGAGGGAAGAGAACCCTTCAAACTGTCCTGAATGTCACAGGCTCACAGGACACCATGACATATGGGCATCCACATATGTAATAGAACCCTTGATCTCATTATTCTCTACCTGACGCTGCTGTTGAAACTATACTGCTGTTTTGTAAGTAGATAAAATGAAATATTAAAGTTTGAGCTCCAAACTACAACTGAAAATAGGTTATTTAAGATATCAACTTAAAATGACAATGAAACTTTATGAACACTAAAGAGAGTAAATTTTTTTTTTTTACTTAAGGGAAAAAATTTATACAATGTCCAACCATTTCTGAGTTTAGCCTTAACCCCACAAGGTAGATGTCTCATTTTACAGAGGATAAAACTGAGTATGAGGAGGTTAGGTAATTTGTTCAGGGTCATATAAAAAATCAGGGAAAATGTGAGTTGACATTCAAATGGATGCAGGCCATCTAGCTGCAAGTCCCCTGCAGTGTGTACTACTGTGCAGCCAAAGCCCACGCTGCTTTCTTGCCCAGACTCCAGTGAGAAGGATGCTTCAGGGAGAAGAATGTACACAATCACCATCTGCTAGAACTTTTATTTTATAAATAAACATTCTGTGTACTTTAAAACGATTAGACTAGTTATTTCTGGATGAATGTAATATTTATCAAAAATAGCAATTGTGCATATAGTCATACAGACCTCACTGAAGAACCTCCCACCCGTAACCGCTATATCAAAACCTTACAAACGTCACTGGTGTTCACGGAGAGAAAGTGATAAGGGAGGCGAAGAAAACACCTCCCCATTGCCTTCTTTTCAAATACTTCCCACAACTAAGTTTGCTTTGTTTGTTCATGCTAACCCGAGAGAGAACACAGGACGACAACAGTTTTAGAAGAAAAAAAGGCTGCTAATCTTAGCATAAGCCAGAAGGCTTTCCTGACAGCTGTCAAGCGTGATGAGAAAAGCAAGCATGTTTACAGTCAGACCCAGAGAAAATACCAGCAAACTTCAAACACACCATGTATTTGATGCAGACAAATCCCATGCTTTGGAGAACGTTATAGTGAACATAGTTATAAGGACATTTGTTTTAGAAGACTTCACAGTAAAACTCACATATACATAATTCCACCAGGGAATCTCTTCAGGATTAACCCTCTGGACTATCCTGACAATGAGTGCACACCAGAGGGCCATTGATAAGCAGAGACACAAACAACTGTGTCTTTAGTCACAGCCCATCAACTTGTTCCACATTTCAGATGTTTCTCTGGCATCTCTCACCCCAATCAGTGCTCTCCTAAGCATTTACAATGTGACTAAAGGACTTTTTACTTCTGTCTGATCTTTATACCAAAACCTCATCACTCAGGATCTTAAATATTTTGCAAGCCCCCCAAAATATGAAGACAGATAAATTCACTAAATTTTACTTATCCAATAAATCAAAAAAAAAAAATTGAAATCTTGTAACACAAATTTTAGTTCCCACATTCATCAAAGCATTTTTAAGTTACTCAAACACAATAGTTGAACGTGTATGCACTTATTTGGAAGTCATCTATTGAATTTATTCTCTAAATGAAAAAGCAAACCTGAAGGGTCACATTACTGAACACTTTACACATGCTGACAGTTTATCTTCTACAAAGGAGTTTTGCTAGCGCAAACTATAATGACTATCTGCTCCTATTAACAAGCAGGTTCTCATTTTTGCATGGCACATCCTTACACATTCAGCCGTCTCCGTAGCCCTCGAGGGTTTAACAGAATTCCTGTAGGTGGAATACTCTATGCTTTCAACTGATAGCAATTAACTCGTTAACTTCTTATCTCTGCCTCCAGTCAGCATTTGTGATTAAATATAGCCTACCACAGTTTTTCTTTTATGATAGTTCACAGTGGTGTCATTAAACTACAGCTTACCCTCAAAATGTGGCTCACTAGCTAAGAATGCTTTTTAATTAAAAAAATAAAAAAATACTTGATGATGTGAAAACCATATGAAATTCAAATTTCAGGAACACTAATATAGCATGTTGGCCATATCTCTCTGCTTACATTGTGTGTGTCTGAATCCATGCTATAATGGCAGAGCTGGATTAGTGGCATGAGAATCTGTCTGACCCATGAAGTCTAAAGCATTTACTATATGGTCATTTGCCAAGAAGATGTTCAAATCTGGTGGGTGAAATCCAGATAAAGGAAGAGACTAAGATTACATAAATTACAAAGGGCAAAATTCAATATTGTATGGAAACACATAATCTGTTAAAAATGATAGACATGATGGGTCGCATTAGTGTCTGCGTATATACCGAACGTGATAGACATGATGGGTCGCATTAGTGTCTATGTATATACCAAACATGANCATTACTGAACACTTTACACATGCTGACAGTTTATCTTCTACAAAGGAGTTTTGCTAGCGCAAACTTTAATGACTATCTGCTCCTATTAACAAGCATGAGTGAGCAGAGACACCAGAGGTGGCCACTTCATTTCTTTCTGTTGCTTCCAGTTGCTAGCATAGTTGCAACTCGCATAAATATATTTAATGTATCCATGTAGATTCTCAACATCCTAGAAAAGAAAATTATAGTAAGATGTGACTCTAATAATGATGACAATCTAATTCTTAGTACAAAAAAATGGGAATAATAATACTCATTATTCCTAGTGTTATTAAATAGAAACTAAAAATACAATGTTTAAAAGCCAGTTAGGGTTCGAAACTAGATAATGCTCAGTTTTCCTTCTGGTAGAATCACCTTTTAAATGAAGAACATAATTTTTAAAAGTATTATGTATTCTTTGACATCCTGCTATGAGCATCAAACCTGGGTGTTAGACAACAGAAGAACTACAACAAATAATAAAACCCACACCTTTAAAAAAAACTCGCAAGACATAGTCTTGCATTTTCAAAGAGAATATATCCTTTTCATCCCCTTTAAGAAAGCTGCTATAAAGCTCCAAGTGTTATAGCAACATTTAAAAAAAGCTATTACATTATTTTATTTTTAGGTAAAGGAGAGCATCATAAAAATGTGAGAGACACTTTGAAACTTTAGGCAGAATTCAAGAAAAGTGAAAACACTATTTTATATTACTGAATGTCAATTAAGGTTGAATGTCTCTAAAACAAACACAAGGAAAAATGTTTTCAGAACTGGTTTCCCCTCCTTAAACATTCCAATTAATTACATGCATTCTAACAGACAGTACTTGTAACTGAAACCTAAAAGCTATGCTCACCTGCAATGCAATCAGTTTTCTAAGTAGACAGCCCAAACTACACTCCAACAGAAGCAGCAAAATTTAACCTGTTGCAAATCCCAGTACTGGTCCTGTGTGCCCTTATTTGGAAATATAACCTTCAAAGATATAATTACGCAGGCAGTGGTGGCGTACACCTTTAATCTCAGCACTGGTGAGGCAGAGGCAGGCAGAACAGAGCCAGTTGCAGAACAGCAAGAGGGGTTACACAGAGAAACTCTGTCTTAAAGAACAAACCAAAACAAAACAAACCAATAAAGATACAATTACAATGTAAGTTAAAATGAGGCCACACCAGAAAAGTGTATGTCTGTTGGCTTTTGCTGTCCTCTAAATCAGGCTGGCCTCCAACTCTGAGCAATCTGCCTGGCTCTGTCTCCCAGGCCCAACCTGAAGATAATAAATTTTAGGCCACCTATCTTATGCTTCTTTGCTATGGTGGTACCCTGTGAAACTAATACACATGGAACCAAACAGCCATACCTATGTAATATAGCAGTAACAGTAAGGTTTACTTACGAATTGATGGGATCATACTTTTGAACTCCATACATTGGTGTTAGTTCTGCACGTTTGATTACTTTCTGAGTATCATATAGAAGGAACATACTGAAAAGAACTAATCCACCATACATTGCCACTGAATACAGAGTGGCACCAGCCACTGTGGTAGGGGGAAGAAACATAGATCCTAAAACAAAGGAAAAATAGAACGTATTATATATATAGCTTGCAACTGGACTTGCAGTTTCTATTATTTAAAACTACGTTGGTAAATCTGATATGAAATCTCATGGATCATCATTTTCTAATGGGTTACTTACCAACATTAGAACAATTTACAAGTCAGCTTAATCATTTCAGAGGTACTTAATAAAACGAATACTTAACCATAAGCCAAGATTTTATGATATCAAATAATCAAACCCAATCAATTTAGCCTATCATTTAAACAACTTTCAAAAATTAATCTTAATGCTTCTGGATACTCGAACCCTTCAAAGGGCAGTAGCTTACCCAGTGAAGACACAAAGACAACGCCTAGGCCCACTCCCAGGGGTGCTCCCATGTTCAGAAACTTCTCACTGGGTGCGCACATGGCCACAGTCGAGAGGCCGCCCACAATACCAGCAGTGTACCATGCAGCTCTCAAGAGAAGAGGCCCCCCCAAGATCGTCAGAGGAGCCACCACTGCACCCATCACACCTGGGGAGACAGCAAGGTCTTGTGAGATATCTACCAAATGACCACCAGAGAACAAATGTCACTGTGAAGCTTCTCGTAACACTGGACCTTATGTTAAACAATGCTGATATAGTAAATTTCACATTTAGGTAGTCATACCCTACAATCCAAACTATAAAGTCAGTATCTGAGTCTATAAAACTGTTTATCACATAAACATGGGATCCTAATTCATATACAAACAGGAGCATTCATTTTTAGTAACTTTGTAAGTCTGTGTAGGTCATTATTTCTAACAGAGACCACACTAGATTTAAAAATAGCAGAAGAAGAACTGACACAACAGAAGGTCAAACCTACTGATGCCCAAAGGGAAGAAAGTAAACTGGAAGGGAAGTGTGTGATGGAACTCAGAAACGCAGAGGCTTCCCAGGCAGGCACTGGATTTGCCTCACCTAATAAGGAGCAGTCTCATTTCAGTTCATAAAAACAAACCTCAGTTGTCAAAATTTTTAAAAACACCTTCCTTAAGAATTATAGGGGAAAGCTGGGTGGTGGTGTCACACGACTTTAATCCCAGCACTTGGGAGGCAGAGATAGGCAGATCTCTGTGAATTCAAGACATGTCTGGTCTACAGAGCGAGAACCAGGACAGGCTCTAAAGCTAGAGAAACCTTGTCTCAAAAAAAAACAAAAACAAAAATGAACAAAAAATTATGGGGAAGGTGGGCATAGTGGTACATGCCTTTAATCCCAGCACTAGGAAGAGGCAGGTGGATCTTTGAGTTCAAGGCCAGTCTGGTCTCCACAGAACAGTCAGAACTACACAGTGAGACCTTGTCTTGAAACAAAACAAAACAATAAAACATTATAGAAATATGTTATTGCCAATCACCAAACAGGAGGGCCAACAAGAAGATTTCAGGACACGAAATTATGTCAATAGAGAAATAATGTAGCTGCTTACTTTAGTTTTCACGGTGTTAGGGATAAAGCCAGGGCCTTGCGTACGCCTAATACCACTGAGCTACATACTCTGCATCTGTCTTTTGAGATAGCATCTCACTATGTTACTTAGGCCATCTTTAAACCTATAATCTCCATGACTCAGCTTCTGGAGTAGGTTTGATTACAGGCCTGTACCACCAGAACTGGTGTAGCACAATTAATAAAAAGAGACAGATATTAGGGTTCAACTTGAAGACCAGAAAAGCAAAACAGCTAGCCACTGGCTCTTACCTCTACCTCAGTCGGAAATGCTGATCCTGCTTACAGGAATCCTCAGAATGAGGCTATGCCTGAGAGCTGTCTCCTCTCATCTTATATTCTTCTCTAGGGCTAGAATTAAAGGGGTACACCAGTACCGCCACATTTCTATGCCAAACTAGTGTAGCTACTGGGATTAAAGGTGTGTGCCACCACTGCCTGGTCTGTATGGCTTATCAGTGAGGCTATTTTACTCTCTGATCTTCAGGAAAGCTTTATTTTTAATAAACAAAATATCATTACAACCTGGCTCCTGTTTTAAATTGCTATAGTATAAGCATATGTACATAGTGTGTGTACGGGCACATGGTATGCAACACTGTGGAGGTCAGAGGACCACTTTGTAAAGTTAGTTCTCTTCTGTCTTTATGTGGGGACCCCAGGGATTGCACACTGCTTACCAGGCTTATACAGCAAATGCCTCTATCTGCTGAGCACCTTGCTGGTCTCTCAGCTCTTTTCTTATACATAGTTATCTCAGAGCTATCTTAATACCAATACTTTTAAAGCAAAGGCCTGGCAACAACGACTGTATGAAATTCTATTTTCTAAAAACAAGGTTTATCAACTCATTTACAACTGAAGAATTGTTCAAAAAGGCCACTATTAAGTCAGGTGTGTCAAGAGACCAAAAGTAGGAAGACAACAAGCTGCAGGTCAGTCTGGCATGCAAATCAAGACCCTGTCTCAAAAACAAAATAAAACAAACCAAACAAGTAACAGGACCGTAAATAATATTCAAGAGAGTCCAATAAGAATTTGAAACAGAACATACCAGAATGAAGCATCCAAGCCAGATGCTTTGGCCCTGGGCTCTGATCATATGGTATTGACTGTACCAGCATTCCAGCTCCAATCATGGCTGCAAAGGTTGCACCAATTGTCTGGAAGACACACATTAAAAACAAAAAACAAAAACAAAAACAAAAAAAAACAGATCCTTAAAGCAGAAGCCCACAGATTCAAGTATGATTAATCACTATGAAGAAACTGAATGCTGTTTTTCTCTAGTACACTTTGGTTTCTGGTTCATTCAGCTTTAGTAAGATCAATTTAGCAAGAGTGCCCTCTACTGCCACAGACATAATTTTCAACCTGATGTAAAGCACAGAAAAATAAAACCAGCTGTTTCTGTGGAGGATAAGAAAAACCAGAGCTGAAAAACATACTGGATTCTACCGCATTGTTTCTAATGGAGAAACAATTACTACAAACTGCTCTACAAATCCTTTGTTCATGTAAATTTCTAGCTATTTATCTCAACTGTGTATTTTTCTTTAAAAATCTTCATTTTTTTTTTTGCTTTTACTTTTCCACATTCTACATTTTAGTGATACTGAACTGGTAGAACTGAAAAAATGCTCCTAAGTTCATATTTCCTTAATGTTTACTGTGCCTTTAGAGAGAATGGTGGTACACACCTTTAATTCCAGCACTTGGGACACAGGTAGATCTCTGAATTCAAGTCTATGTACTAAGTGCTAGGACAGCCAAGGCTAACGAAGAAGCCTGTTCTCAAGAAAGCCAATGCTAGCCTTGTCTATTGAGTTCTAGAACAGTCAGGGGTGATAGAAGACCCTGTCTCAAACAAAAACAAAAGCCAAAACACCAAACCAACCCAACAAACAAAAAGTATACTGGCAGGGCAGTGAGATGGATCAGCAGGTTAAGTTACTAGCTGAGCCCCAAATTGAAGCCTGAGGATCTGAGTAACACCCTCAGAATCCACAAAGATGTGTGTGAGAGAGAACCAATTCCACAAAGGTCCTCTGACCTCTAGATGCACGACACACAAACCCCTTCCCCTGAGTGACTTACTAGTATGTACTTTTCCCAATAGTGGCAGACGTCTCTCTTGTTCCAAAGGCACTTGAGAAAAACTATGCTTTCCTATCTATACCACCTCCAAAAGGCTTTCTCTCTCCTTTCTGAAACATCTTCCTAACTTTCTCAACTATTTCTCTTAAATATTCTTAGTAGCAGAAGACAGTGACATTTTGCTGCAGAGGGTATGGTCTAAACACATAGCTTCTTTGGCATTGTATATTTACCCAGTAAGTATGGTCCCTATACTACCAGAGCAAGTTCTCTTGGAATACAGAATGTAGGAAATATCATGGATTAAAAACTTACAGCTCTGGCTTCCCAACCATGGGAAACAGCTGTGTTTAATTCCCATCTCCTGCCTTGCCCGGTCCCACAGGCACAGCTGGTGCACCTGCTTTGTGTCGCCTATCATTAGTAGTTGTTCTTTTTGAGACAGGGCTTCTCTGTGTAGCCTGGGCTGTCCTTGAACTCACTTGGTAGACCAGGCAGGTCTTGAACTCACAGAGATCCACTGCCTCTGCCTCCCAAGTGCTGGAATTAAGGACATGCGCCACCACTGCCCAGTCCACATTCGTTCTACCACTTGAACAGAAGTGTTTTCTGCCATCTAGTCTGTACAGTGGTCTCTGTTAGGTACTTTGCCTCAGCCTGGAAATCAAAGCTAGCACCTTTCTCACCATGCCCTTTCCCACTTGAGATTTCACTGGATGGGACTGTAAACACTTTTCCCAATAGGGTCTTCCTAGCTCTTCTCCTTTGTTCTGCTGGACTGGCCTCGTCCTCTACTGAAAGAAAGCATGTTACCTAGCAGAAGAACTAAGTCTTGGGGGCTGGAAAGATGGCCGCTCTTCCAGAGGATCCAGGTTCAATTCCCAGCACCCACATGGAGGAACACAACTGTCTATAACTCGAGTTCCATGAGACCCAGCATACATACACATGCAGGGAAAACACCAATGCACATAAATAAAAAACAAAAAAGAACCAAGTCTTCCACTAAACTGCCCTGATGGCCCAAGACTATCTTTCAGCTAACTTTTTACTTCACTTTCAACTTTCTATTTCTTATCATACATCCCGTATGATACACTTTAGATCGCCCCACCACATAACAGGAACAGAACCCATACCTGAAAGCATACAGTGCTAGCATGCAAAACAGCAAGTGCTTAAGAAATATTCATTCACTTTGTTGGGTGGTGGTGGCACATACCTTTGATCCTAGTACTTGGGAGGTAGAGGCAGGTGGATCTCTGAGTTTGAGGCCAGCCTGGTCCACAGAGCAAGTTCCAGGACAGCCAAGGCTACATAGAGAAACCCTGTCTCAAAACAAAACAAAACAAAACAAAACAAACAAATAAAACCAAAAGAAGAAGGAAATATGCACTGAACAAAGTGCCCGTATTCAGGCAGGCAGCTCAGGCAGGGCAGGAGTGCCATGTTAACTAACTTCCTCTAACACTGCAGAAAGCTTCATCAGCAAGATGGATCTGCATTTACTTTACTTATTTGTTTGTTTTTTTTTTTTTTTCAAGACAGGGTTTCTCTGTAAACCTGGCTATCCTAGAACTTGACCTGTAGACCAGGCTGGCCTGGAACTCAGACATCTGCGTGCCTCTGCCTCCCGAGTGCTGGGATTAAAGGCGTCACCAGGCACATTTACTTTATTTTTAGCAAGGAAGTACAAAATAGAAGTTGTCTGCTATGTTTCTAAGTTGAGTTTTTGACCCCTTCGATCCAATTAAAACACATAGTTGATAAAGAGTAATACAATATTCTTCCATTTAATGTCCTCTCCCTTTCCCACAATATATATTTTAGCAAATCATTTTTCTTCCCTGTATTAAGAACTGAACCTACAGTTCAACAGATTCTAGGCAATTTCCTTACCATTGAAATATTAATGGCTCTACTCCATGAAATCTGATCTTTACATCAAAAAGCAACAAAATAACCCATCACCTAGCACCACCTTCCCAATAGAAATAGCAAGTAGCTAACTTACCACCCAAGAGCCTCTCATCATGAAGTTCATGAGAGCAGGTGTTCTGGCTACTGCCATGGCAGACAAAGCTGTTAAACCAATACTTCCTGTTAAGTACATGTAAGTAGAATGAATTCTATCCTTCACATACTGAGGCCAAATTCTGTAAGAAACAGGACAAGGTAAAAATTCTGATTAAATCATTTGTTAGATACAAAAGACTCTGGAATAAATCACTTTAATGTTCCAATCTAATTGTGACAGAAATAATAACTATAATTATTGTTTTTGGTTTTTCAAGAGTTCCTCTATGTAGCCCTGACTATCCTGGAACTGGCTCTGTAGACCACACACCAGGCTGCCCTGGACTCTACCTCCTAAGTGTTAGGATTAAAGGTGTGCATGACCATACCCAGCTATGATATAAATAATTACGTACATTTTGGAACTATATTAGATTAAATGACAGAAACATACATTTGATCCACATATAAAGCAACACATTTTCTCCTTGTCTGAATACATAACCTTGATTAAGAATGATTATTTAGGCTTGAATAAGTCTGTGACAAATGAACAAAAGAGACTATTTATATTCATGCATATTCACAAATGAAAACCAGACAAGGCATTCCAAAAGTGACTAGAGACTCAAGAGTAGGAAGAACGAGAACCTTTATTTGAAGGATTTTGGTTGCTTGGGGACAATTTACTTACACAGCCTTTTCGATAGCTCCAATCTCATTAGACATTCCTAAGCCATAGTAGCACAGCGCTCCAAGACCAACAGCTGCTCCTCCAGCAACAAACCACCTTCCCATCTGATCAACTGCAAGCACAGCAATAAACACAGGCTAGGGTCAGCACATTTCAACTAAACTAAAGTGCTGGGGTAATTATTCAAAATAACCAGGTTCAGATCGTAACTGTTTCTTCACAGGAGTCTCATGGGGGACACAGAATTCTCAACATTAGGCCAGAAGGAAAGGATATTCTAGAAACAAATGTACAACAATGACCTCAAAGAATAAAGGAGCATTTGGGTACAGACGCATACATAGCTGTTAAAGCACGTGGGAGGCTGAAGACAAAAAAATCATGAGTACATGACCAGCAGGGTTTACATAGCAAGAACATACCCCAGATGAGTAAATGTTGAAAAAAAAATAAAGAAACTGATAGTCATTTTACACTGTGTCTAAAGTGTGAAGTTTATGTGAGCCTAGAGAACCAATAGAGAAAAATGCTATTAATATATATGTACCCAAAAAAAGGAGAGATGCTCTTGCTTTAGAATAATGAATTTTTTTTTTTTTTTTAGCAGCTCTCAGGCAGGTGCTCATAAAGAACATCTTGCTCCCTCCAATTTGTTCACTAAGAACATTCCTGGAAAATCCTGATTTGTTCTCTGTGGTCAAGACTCTTATCAAAAAGGAATGCTTCCCATGATACTGATTAGGACTCCTCAACTATAATAAAGTGACATTTCCAACACTGGTAAGTAGCTTTTGTTTAAATAGTTTAGGGAAGATTAACAATCTGCTTTCAGACATTTTAAAGTTAAAATCCAAGCGATGAATCAAAATGACTTCATTAAGATAATGCCTTACTAGCGGCCGCAGATATGGCTTTTGAGTTAAGAGCCCTTTGCTGCTCCTCTTTCAGAGGACCCGAGTTCAGTTTCAAGCACCCAATTCCGGGGCATATAATCACCCAACTCTAGTACCAGGGGATAAAATATCTTCTTCTGGCCTCTGTGAGTATCAACACACACCTGGTGGATATTCACGCATACAGACAAAGGAATAAATATAAATTTAAAAGCTTCATGTTAAATACTGAACTTCCACCTACTTTTAAAGATTTTTTCCATTGATGGTTCCAAAGCTGCCTCTTTCAATTCTTGGCCAGTTTTCCCACGGTGGATCCTAACTCTTGTCTTGGCAGCGTATTCCTGACATATACAAAAAATACACGTACCACTCAGATCAACAGCATGTCAATAAAACAGAGGTTCTTTTTACACTAATATAGAATCAGTATAAAAGTAAGAAAAAAGAAAGAAAGAAAGAAAGGAAGGAAGGAAGGAAGGAAGGAAGGAAGGAAGGAAGGAAGGAAGAAAAAGCCGGGTGGTAGTGGTACACACTTTAAATTCCAGCACTGTAATGGGTTTTTGATCCTACTGCACATACTGGCTTTGTGGGAGCCTAGGCAGTTTGGATGCTCACCTTACTAGACCTGGATGGAGGTGGGTGGTCCNGGGGGGGGGGGGGGTGGGGGGGGGGGGGGGGGAGGGAAATGGGAGGCAGTGGTGGGGAAGAGACAGAAATCTTCAATAAATAAATAAATTAATTAAAAAAAAATCAATAAATTCCAGCACTGGGGAGGCAGATCTCTGTGAGTTTGAGACCAGCCCGGCCTAGAGTTAGTTCCAGGGCATGCTCCAAAGTTATGGAGAAACTCTGTCTCACCCGCGCCCCCAACCTCCCCCAAAGTTTAAGTAAGATTAGATGTAGCTTGACCTGTGCTCCATCTTTGAAATGATTATACAATTTTCCCCAGGTAGTCAAAGTTGAACCTGAAGCCTCAGGAACAGTAGGAAAGCACTCAGTCATTTAGGTGGGTCTTTACCAGCGGTGGAAAAGTTATTTAATGAGGAAAGTATGCCCTTTTAACTACTGCAGATTATCTTCAGCTAGTTCACACTTTAAAACATGCATCTATACTCATTTAAATACTACAAGACAGATGTTGGCTTGCAATCTCAGCACCTGCGAGCATACGGGAAGTGAAATCACTATTTTGAGATCAGCTAATTCTATAGATTGAGATCCTGTCTCCAAGGAAAACACCTGATGCCAAAGAGATAGGCCTTTCTCGATAATCTGACAGATTTTTATCCTTATCTAAGCAAAAGCTGTAGTACCATCTTTAGTAACTAATCAGCTGGACCAACTGGTAATATCTCTGGGTTCTTTAGCATTTGACTGCAGCTCCCATATACAATCCTTTTCTTGTACCATGTAACCTAATTCCCCAATGCTTACTCTCAGTTTTCTGAGTGAGAAACTTCAAGACATAAGGTGTAAAAATAAAATCTCTCTTTCATTTGTGATAAGGAGATTGGTATGATTTTAACTGATAGGTAGAAAGTTCACTGGAAACTCTACTGTTGGTTTATTTGGTAAGTCACTAAACAGAGAAAGCTATGTACAGTCAGAGAATGTTACAGACAACCCACTGATTAACCACCACCACCAAAACAAAACAGAAAATCCTAAAACAGAACAAAACAAACAAAAAACCCAGAATGGGGTAGAAACCCATATTGAAAAAACATTCTTTACCCTGGTGGGTGTTAAGAGCCATTGATTCTTCGTGATGGAATTCTTTATGAGTGGGGAGGTCTTGGTGAAAGTGGGCTGGAAAACCCTGGAAGGCAGTGTCCGGAGACACACAAGCCTTGCAGCCAGCATGGTGGGTGATATACCGGTTCACTAAGCAGATCTGAAATGCTAGTTAAAAAGCAAAAATGTATGTTAACTGAGAAAGGAACAGAATAGTCAAAGAACAGAAGAAACAAATTAAGGTTCTGCAGGAAAAAAAAATCACAACAGTGGCCTCACTAATTCTTAATGGTGAATCCTCCCCTTGCCTCTTCTAACTCCAGAAATCCAGTTATAGTATAAATTATATATAATAACATATTTTATATTGCATATATTATATATTTTATTATTATATATAGCCAATAATATAAATCCCAGTTTGACCAGATATATGTAATGCAGAATGAGTGTTATTACGTTAGCACAATTACAAATTCTGGCATTTACAGTCGCTGTGTTAACTAGTATTTATACCACCGTTAAATAAGTTAAAAGAATCTGTGAAACTTTTCAGCACAGGAAAATCATTTCCAAGGAAAAGATGAATTGGAGGCCAAACTATACAAGACTAAAAGACATCAACAGAAGCCAGGCCATGTGAATGTCTAGTAAATACGTCAACTATTAAAATACGACAGACACCTTCAAAGCAAGTTAATTTATTCCACTACTACGTAGCCTTCGATCAAAATAAACACAACCAATACCCGAGAGTCCTTCCACAGGAACTCTTAAGAGCACGGAACTCTAGGCATCTGACCTTGCGGGAGGGGAAAAAAAAAACCGAGAGTCCTTCGGGTACTTTCACGCCATTACATCATCTCAACCGGTCGCTTCCTCCAGCTTGCAACCTACTGACCGGGCCGCAGACCCAAGTCTGAGTAGCCTCAAGTCGCATAAGCGCCCAAGGCGGTGATCTGCCATATATTTAGGTGAAACGGGCCCCTAGGCTAGTTCTGCACCAATTCTTGCCGGCCCTTCTTAAGGCTTCCCTGCGCACCGATGCTCGAGCGCCTGGTCCTTCCCCCTCACCGCCAGCCCGCAGCCTCCGCATCCACGGAGCGCCCCACCGCACCCCCAGCCGGGCCACCAGGTCCCCGAGGGGCTGACTCAGCATCCCGCTGCCCAGGAAGAGGTCGCGAGGGGCAGCGGCGTCTCCCTGCCCCGCCCGCAGTGGCCGGCCTAGACCCCGCCGTGACGGAGCCCGTCTTGGGGACGGAGATTCTCAGGCCACGCGGGGCAGTACCTCAGCTCCGGTCCCCTCTACCACGGGGGCTCCCCTCCGGGTCAGCCAACCTGAGAGCGCTCGACCTCCCTCTGCCCGCTCCTCTGCGGCTGCGCGACTCACTGCGTCACGCAACATCCGGACAAAAGGTAAATAGTAGAAACAGCCAATCAGAGGGCAGATCTCTGCCGGAAGGGCGGGTGCAGTGCGGGAGACGGGGCTTGGCTTGGGGACCGGACCAATGGAGATTTGTGGTCGGAAACGTCACAGTCGGCGCTCATTTTGGGTGTGGGCTGCGAAGCCGAGGCGACCATTTTAGCGCTGGGCAGCGGAGTTCTTCGTTTCTTGCGTAGTTTTTCCTTGGCAGCGGGCACTTGTTAAAAAATGAGAGAAGGGCGGTGGTGACGCACAGTTTTAATCCCAGACCTCTGGGGGTAAGGGCAAACTCCGTGAGTTCAAGGCCAGCTTGGAATTACTTTCGTTTTTGGATCTAGGTTTCACAATGAATTTTCACATATAAATTGGACTTTAATTCTGTTTAAGAGTCATCATAAAACACGTTTTACGCCGAGAACGTAAAGTTTGGGTTAATCGTATGGTCGTGGTGGCTGGAACGATGTTTACCAACCCTAAGAGGTACAATTCAGTCAAACTTTTGTTAATTTCTTAATGTTTACCACTGCTGGGTACCGTGGGGCTGTGGCTAGGCAGGATGTCTTGAGCTATGTGATATGTACTTGATATCCTCTCCTTTTAATTCATTGTGTGAACTTTAAGGGATTGGACACTGGTTTTGTGAGTTTTTGCATGTGTAAATTTACCTCGAATTACTTCTGAGGAACAGGAGCAAAAAACGTTGTGTACTTATGGGATGAAAGGATTCATCTGAACATTTTAAGTGTTTTACTATAGTTATTAAAATACATGCACTATGCACTAGGTATAAATATATTAGTAAATACAATTTTCTTGAGAGTTTTAGTATATTGACTCTGTGGTTTGGCAAGAAAATAATGGCAATGGTATACATAGCGAGTTACAGAACAGCCAGAGCTGTACAGAGACCCAGCTTCGAAAGAAAAGAAATCCTGTCTCGAAAAACCATAAATACATACATACATACATACATACATACATACTACATACCAAGGAAACGTCCTCTCCTGATAGGCTCCTTATCCTGGTTTAGCTTTAGGCACACCCTTTCCACAAAAACAAACTGCCTTACTGAACCAGTTTCACTTTGTTCATGTGTTCCTAACTGTAACACTGAAAACACTCTCGGTTTGATTCTATCAATAGTATATGGAGAAATAAGTCTTGGACTGGAGAGATGGCTCAGGTGTTACAGAATAGACTCACAACAAAAAATATAAGAGAAATAGCTCTACTCCCCACTGAAGCATTGCAGTAGCCTTCAAAAAAAACCCTAAGTAAGAGGAAGAGTAGCTTGTGTTCTGTTACACAAGTATAGCCTGAAGCTTGGGGAAAAAAGACAAAATATAAAAACAACAACAACAAAATGATATTAAAAGGTTACAAGGGCAACAGCAAAAAACAAAAACTAGAAAAAACAAACTGACTAGATCTCACCAACCAGCAATAGCTGCCTCAAGAAGCAGGTTGGTTGTAATCAATAATTGCCACATTTGTTAAGTATGTTTTTATGACAATCATAAGGTGTGCTTTTCAATTGTGGCACTATATCCTCTTTCAATGGGAAGGTGGTGGCCTTTTAACTCCCCCAAATTCTAGAATACTGCCGGAACTTGGTATGAGCAAAAGTCTTACCCAGTGGTGTGGTAAGCTATTAAAGCATTTGCCTGAAGGTTTAAAAAAGAATGCCAGTGGTTTCATGATTAAAAGATTTATAAGGTGGGAAGATAAAAAGATTGGAATACTTTTTTAAAATTGTATTTACTTATTGTGTACATAGTGTTCCCACCTGCGTGTATGTCTACATGCCAGAAGAAAGCACCACATCTCATTACAGATGGTTGTGAGCCACCATGTGGTTGCTAGGAATTGAACTCGGGACCTCTGGAAGAGCAGCCAGTGCTCTTAACCTCTGAACCATCTCTCCAGCCCCTTGGATTCTTTATGACAAAACTTTTACACTATTTGACAGAAAAGACTAATTAATAGTTTTTATACTATCTATAGTCCCTGGTAAACAATATTTACTGGATGTTCATTCTGAACCAAGCAATAGGAATAATTAGTACCTGAACCGTGCGTGATACTGTTGCTTTTAGGCATTTCCTTTCTGGTGGAGTCAGAAAACAAAATCATAATGTTAGGTGGTAATAAGGACTACAAAGAAGGGTAAAGCCCTAGAGGTCTGATACTTTAGGATAATTAACAACATTTAAAATTTATGGCCCTTTATTATCTCCTAAGCAATTGTTTATTGTGATTTATGATCATCTCACCAGGTGAATCTTGACAGACATAATGATTTGCTCATTATAAGGGTAATAAAACAGTCTGATGGCATCAGAGTTCCTGTGTCTTTACTCTGCAAATGGTGAGAAAACTCTAGCGGAAACTATCACCAAAGACATTGACTATATGGAACATAGATGGAGGATGAGCAATTTAAACTTCACGTTGTTACACACAAGATCGCTGTGTAACTCCTACAGTGGAAAGTCTTTTCCCTACATCTACAGTATCTGAAATAAACAAAATCTAAAAGCCAGTGACTCGGGGTTCCTATTAATTAATTAAACCTTAGTCTTTGTAGAGACAGTAAGGTTTTTTTTCCCCTCTCTGTTTTTCTTTCTTACATTTGAAGCTTGTCATATTAGATATTTTGAAACAGGGAATCACTTGCTCATATAATAAGATATGCTCTTGTCTGCCAGTGTAGGTGGAGGAGAGATTGAGGGTTTAGATGGAGAGAGAGAGAAAATACAAAAAAAAAAAAAATGAAAGAAAGAAAGAAGAAAAAAAACCCTGGGCAACATGCTGAAAGCTGCTTTAAAAACACATTATGTAATGTTATCAATAATACAGAAAGGCAAAAAAGTAACAGTTCTATAATAGCCACTAATGGTTGGTTTTTGTAGGGGTAGACATCCCTATTATTCTGGTCACTTTATTTGTTCTATTGTATACTTTTCTGAGATAGCCCTAGAGGCTTGTCTGTCCCCCGTAGAGCACACATTGGAAAGAGTTTAAAAAGCTTAATTGGATTTAACAAAGGACAGAGCTTTTCCAGGTGAGTATGGAAAAGGGCAAAGTTATTAGGGGTTTTCATGAGAGAGATTATAATGTACTACGGGTTTGGCTTCCGTCAAGATGGAGGTTGAGAAGGAAGGGAAACTGTAGGGAATAGATTAAAGGACTTTGAAATTATATGTTTCTAAAGCTAAGTGTGGTGGTATACTTTTAAATCTTAGGTGTTTGGAGGGCAGAGGCTAGAAACACAGATAATCACGTCAGGCCCCTGAGCAGGCCAGCTTAACTGACTGTACTGACCCGCGCATGCGCGCAGGAAAGATGTAGCCTGCCGGGTCCCCAAGGGCAGGCCAGTGCAGGTGCCTGAATGGTAGCGTCCAGATTGACCTGGATCATGAGAGGAGGTGAGTGAAGGGGAGAGCGAGAGAGGGAAGAGGAGAGAGTGTAATAGATGAAGAGAGGTCCAGGAGTGGAGCCAAGAGCATGCTTTGCCAAAACGACTGGGCTTTATAGGAAAAGAGAAGCGGAGGAAAAGGAATCGAAGCTCGGGGTAGAAAGGTTTAGGGTAGAGGGGTGGGAGTTGGGGATGACGAGTGCGGAGGAGACAGGACTTTGTAACCAGTACTTTGCTGGGAGCCTGGCAGCCAGCATCCTCTCTGATAGGTACCTCAGCCATTTGTCCCAGGTTTCTTTGAGACTTAACAGATGCCCCACAAAACAACAAGAGTAACGAAAGGTACCCAAGCTGGGGATTTCAATGAAATGAAGTTCTAATGAGAAGCAAAGTGTATTTGAAGTTGGTATTTTAGAGGAAATAATTCTCGGTTATGAGAGTGACCTGAGGGTAGGTGACTTGGAGAGCTCCGTATTGGATGAATGATGAATCAGAGAATGGTGACAACAGGTAGGCATCGCAGGCACAGTTGTGACGCCTCGGAAATGCCCACGTTGCTACGCCCAGAACCTGCAAGTATTTACTTACTCACAGGCACATGTGATTATGTAGGAAGTCATTGCATGTCTGTATGTCCATCCTGGATTGTCTGGAAAAGGTTGGGTAACTTAAGACATGGAGGTGTGTGTGTGTGTAATGTTTTTTTCATTTCAGAGTGCAGTTGTTCCAAGCAGGACTCCTTCTCTCCTCTGTATGACAGGAAACTGGTCCCACAGACTGCTTTTCCAGGCTCCTGCTCTCCTGGCTGCTGCTTAGGTTCAAACACTGGGAAGGCAGAAAGAATCTGGTCGTTCCCATGCCTTTAGTGGGATTTGAACAGCCTGGTGTCTTTTCTGTTGTTCTGTTTCTTGTAAATGACTTGGTTCAGGTGGGGGATGTAGTATCCCCTGTAGAAATATACTCTAGGTTCTAGATTTCTAAAGTCTAGAAGGATGCGAAAAGAGTTTGAGAGAAAAGGGTATGCCTAGTCTTGATGGGCAGGAGGGAGGGGTTCAATCCACCGAGGCAGTGCAAATCTGGGAGAGAAGTCACGTGGCAAGTCAGAGGCCTATGCACCCTATCTTGGAACAGCAAGTAGGCTCTAAACAGAAACTTAAAACCTGTTTCCATAATAAAAGTCATGGAAGATCACAAGTCATTATGATTTAAATTTGAAGAAAAGAAAAAGTGTCATGACTTTTAAAACCAAGTGATGGAGGGTTCCAGAACCCATTTCACTCAGAGGGGAAGGATCTTCCTCTTCTTCACGGTCCGGGAACTGACACTGGAGTGGTAAGAAGAGAAACATAATCCTCCCCTTGTACTTGACCTTGTGGTAAAAATTAGTGACATGTTCACATAAATATTGTTTATCAGGCTTTAGCTTTTAAAATTAACTGAGTGTGAAGAACCTAAGTCTTGATTTGGGTTGCCACAGAGACTGTTGTCAAGAGCCTTTGTGCTGTAGAAGCAAAGTGAAGGTGTAGAAAGTCAAGGGTGGAGAGTGGGAGGGAGGGAGGGAGGGCT